GTGTTGATCTTGTCATCACGCCCACACCCACACCCACACCCACACCCACACCCACACCCACACCCACGCCCACACACACCCACACCCACACCCACACCCACACCCACACCCACACCCACACACACCCACACCCACACCCACACCCCACACCCCACACCCACACCCACCCACACCCCTTTTTCAATATTTTCGTCGCCTCTTCGTTTGTGTGTATCCACATGACTGTATGAATTAGCGAGAATAAGAATCATGGGAACATGCGCATGTCAACTCATGCGAATATGTTAACAACTAGAAAGTGGTTTACTATGCAAAACTTAACTGAGTATGGTCAAGCGAGTCACAGCAACAAGCGTTACTTATTGGTAATAGATCAGGACAATTCAGTTGAAATATTGTCAATGTATCTGTGATATTAGATATGCTCGTTCATCTCAATAAACACTTTTACCAACGAAGCAGGAGCTATGAAATGCAAGTTGATTTCAAATGTTTGATTTTTCTTTTGCTGTTCACATTAATCATCAAGAAGAGTTAACTTAGACTTTAATACTAGTAAGAAATATGCCAGAATTGCACATAACTCATCATACAATACATCTGATTGCCATATACACTCAGTTTTGAATTGCTTATGTTAATAAGTACATAAAGCAATTCAATTGACAAAGCAAAATATTGAGAAAGAGTTTCAATACAGCAACATAAAGTAGACAATTACGTCATTGTTACTTTAAATCTCTACAATTTGCCCAATAAAAGATGTCATGACCAGTGATAGAGACCATTTGTAAGTTCTTTTGTGCACGTACAACCCAGTTTATATTGAATTTATTTTTCTTACTTCAATTCATTTAAGTGAACGTGATTTTTCAATCAATTAGTTCATTATTGATCCTATATGAGAAGAACATTGTTTAATATCAATTGAACTACAGATAACATTCTTTTAAAACACACGCAGAATTTATTTTCTTGTAGGATACATCCTTTCTTTGTGAACGAAAAATCAATTACGAGCCGATCATAATGGTAAAATAAGGTAAAACATGATATTTTCGAGATGTTAAAATTTCTCTCGAACTGTAATAACGGGTGGGGCAAAAGTTTTGCATTAATTTTATTTTTTACATGACTCTGCACTGCAATGTTGTAGAGATTTGAATTTTGTTTTTGTTAGAAAGAGCAAAGTATCTAGTGCAAAAATCTATAAAAGACTCTGGTTGAAAATGTTTTTCGAAGATCACAAGAATCTTAGAACAGAAGACATCGAAAAAATTTTCCGTAACTTTGGTCAGATTTTTTTTCTCCAAAAATATTTGTTTGCCCTTTTTCATCATCCACTTTCGACGCTTTCGAGCACCGTATTTATACAGTTGTTCATTACAACGAAAGCTTTCATTTGATATTAAAATAGTTGAGATAACATGCGAAAGAATGGACAAAAGATAATTTGATTAAAAAACATTAATTGTTCGAATTTGGTTTTGCAGCGTGAAGGCAAGCTTTTGTCTGGATACCTCACAGAGAAGTTGTGTCCTATTCCAAATAATGTCGTTTAGTAAAGAAGTCAATAAGGTTTCTTTTCCATGTGGATATATATATCTTCGGATAATACCTCTCGCGAAATCGAGTTTATTTTTTCGACTTCTATGAACAGTGAAGGAAAATTGATGGCTCAGACGATATCATAAAAGAGTTCATTTCGACCGTTATAAAGCATGTAGAAAATTTCTTTTTTTTCTAAAACAATAGTGTTCTATCCTTACATTATAAAATCTGGATTCGACGACTAAAAAGAGAAGCTGTTTAATTATAAGACGTTTTTTTCTCAGTTCAAAAAACTTGCAGAAGAATTTTTCGACGTCTTCTGTTCTAAGATTGTTGTGGTCTTCGAAAAACATTTTCAATCGCATTCTTTTATAGATTTTTGCACTAGATACTTTGCTCTTTCTAACAAAAAAAAAAATTAAAGCCTCAACGACATTGCATTGCAGAATCGTATAAAAAATAAAATTAATGCAAAACATTTGCTCCACCCGTTATATTTGAAAAACTGATATATAAGTTAGAAAATCAAACAGAGTATGTGGAATATTTTCTACAGATCAAATAATTGTATGATATTATGAAATAACCAATAAAAAGTCAAAGCTAAAGAATCTTGCTAACTCGAAACACTACAGTATTCTACTTCGTTTATGTTTCACAACTTCTTTTTATTGAAGATAAACAGAGTACAGTACTATATTTTCAATTTTTATACATTGTAGTTTCACTCAATCGAACTAATAAGCAAAGAGTTATGGATTTTTGATAACAATTATTATGAAATTGTTTTCTCTCATTATAAAACTTGTTCATACATTTTTGTTACGGAATTTAAATTTTTTTCAATATCACGGGCTGATTAAAAAAACCATTGAGAGTTCGAATGAACTGTTCAAAAATATATTTTTATCTTACTCAAGAAAATTCATGATTAGAGCTCAATTTTTTATTTTGGAATTGTTGATATTGAATTGATATGTTGAAAAAAAAAGTTATTGAATAATATCTTCAAGAAAATATTCTCGAACATTAATTCTTCTTTCTTTAAATTTATATTATTAAACAATTCAAAAAATACTGATGAAATAAAGTTGCATCAATTGTTGCTAAGCAATTACAAAAAAAAAAATAAATAAATCATTTTCTATGTTAAATATTTTATCATAGTCAACATTGGATAGCTTGAAAAAGAGGATAAGCTTCTAGTAGATCATTTTTCTTCAAGTTATCAATTTCATTTTTATTCTAAACTACTTGACAAAAAATATTTAAAAGACGATGACAATTAATAGTCAAAAGCATACTTTTATGTTTCATGTTTTTCGAGTAGTTGTTGTCAAAAACCTAAATTCATCATTCGATCGAGTTCGTTCAACTATATCTGGCTCATAGTACTATTGAAGTGTTTCAGAAAATGAAACGAGTCATTATGAAAATAATTCAAATTGATGGGTAACTACTCTTAAATGACTATGATATCTTAATATTTTACCGATTCACTGTGATGATGGGAAAAAAACAAGTGACATTATGATATATCGCACATTTTTCCCATTCTATGATTCACTCTATCTTTCCCTTCTTTCAGCTACTCGATCGATGAGTAATAACACAAGCAAAGCAAACGCAATATTCTTATGGGAATGAAACCAGGTGTCTGAGTAATACATGATCATGAGTAATTAAACGTAATGGGATAAATGTATACAAGCCAAACTTATTTAGTAATGTATGTATATAAGCAACGCCAAGCTTTTAACTTTTGCATACAATAAACGTTGATATGTTACAACAAGTAAACGTAAGTCTTTTAAAATTATATTCTCTTCAAAAGGCCTTTTTCACCGTCAGTATCCAGTGAATTTTTCCATTCTTAAGTAGTACAACTAAGCTTGTATAGTAGTTTTTTTCGCATCACAATAATTATTTTTCTATTGACAAAGTACTGTCTAAATGATGAGCCTTTTCGATTACTGAAAGAAAGAGGACCAGCCTTTCTCTTAGTATGGATGTTAGTTGAAACCACTGAAGAGAAATAAAGTATTACTTGCATTTGATTGATATTAAAACTACAGTACTCGATGGTGAATTATGTAACTATATATGAACATTAGCATAACGTTTTAATCAAAATGAATGATAATTCATGTAATTTCTCTTACTAATAAGTGAACTTCATGACTTTTGATGTAGTACACATAAGAGAGAAATTATTTTTTTTATTTAAATTCTATTATCAAATAGATAAGCTTATCGAGAAAAAAGCAATTCGTTTTCTTACACCTTTCTTTATAAGAATCGACAGCTGAATCAAACATTATCATACTGTAATGATTTTTTTCATTTCATTTTTTTTTGTAAAGGCATAATTATAAGGCAAGTCGAATCGGTTTCTATTTTTCTTCGGAGAAAGCAGGATGAAATGCTGAAAAAACAAGATAACATTTCAGAAGAATGTTTGGATAAATAGTCATTTTTTTGATGATTTCTTCAAGCGAGATTGAATCGTTCCTACAGTTCTTTGTGCAATAATCAAGAGTATAATATTGAAAATTATTTTGAATCATTTATCAAGTTTTTTTTTTTTTGGATTTTGTTATCGGTAATACTTACCAAGAAACATTCCTAGGTGTCCAATCGCTTTTAAGTCGAGACCATGTACATCATGCCAATCTTTTAGCAAAATCCTCTGGTCTTCCTCAGATCATCAAAAACTTGTGAATTGCTTCTATCTTTAAGTATGAACATTAAACAGGAGGCATAATCTCTACTCAAAAGCAATCAAAGACTTGGAAATGTTCTCTCGTTAGATAAAAAGTACCGATGATTTTGAATTCAAGTTAAAAGAGATAAAATTTTAAACACGAGAATTATGTTAATTGTGACCAAGACTTCGATTCTAATTAATACAGAATTGGAAATTCGAGCATGAATGAACTTCTATTCGTTCAACGGAAATAATAAAGATCATTTATTAAGTCTGAATTTTGCTTATTTAAAATTTCTATTTTCAGGATTCGTATCGATAAGCTAAATAAAAAAGCATTAGAAAATGAGGAATATTCTGTTTTTCCGAATCATGATTTCTTTTCTGGTCATAAGTATTTTGTCGGCTCGTGTTGTAAAACGCGCCATCAATTGGAATGGACAAAACTGGGCTATGGCTTGTGATTTCAATAACAATGACCTTTCAAGTGTTCAAACTAAACCAGAACTTTGTGGTCCACAATGTGCTGCGACAGCAGGTTGTACGCACTTTACTTGGTCTAACTGGAATGGTGGGACTTGTTGGATGAAAAAGGGTCCAATTTCCAAAAGTGATGCTGTTCCATCCACTGATTCAAGTATGGTCTGTGGTGTACTGTCTGATGGACCAAGCGGAGGTTCTGGATCGAGGTAAAGCACTCTTCGACACTCAATTTATAAGTAATATAATTTTTTCTCTCATAAATATCCGATATTCGAATTGGTGTGGCAAGAAAAAAGGGCGTCCGATGCATTCAGTTTTGACACAATTCTAATGCTGAGAAGTAACAGAAGCATGAGAAAATCATTGCATTTTATTTCTTCATCGTAGAGATCAATCGTAGAAATTTTTCTTCTCTTATTGGAAAGCGAAAAATTCTGTTGCTGAAAAGAAAAGTAATATTAATTATTTCTTTAATTCTAGTTCAAAAAAACGAGGTATTGCTTGGCCATTGGAAAATAAACAAGATTCACCGAATGTCTTTGCTGGTGGAAAAATCTCCTGGGTTTACAATTGGTCGCCCTACAGAACTGATATTGCTGGTGCAGAATTTGTTCCAATGTTATGGAGTACAAACAAAGGCCACGATGGAAATCAATTTTTGAATCAAGCAAAAGGTGCAAAGTCTGTTCTTGGTTTCAATGAACCAGAACGTAGTGACCAAGCAAATATGAGTCCAGTAGAAGCTGCAAATGCTTGGAAACAATATATTGAACCTCTCAGAGCTCAAGGTGCTCGACTTTGTTCACCAGCTATTGCCTCGACTGATCAAGGACTCAATTGGTTGCAACAATTTCTCAATGAATTGAGTAAAAATAATGGAAGAATTGATTGTCTTGCTTTACATTGGTATGGTCGAGGTGTAGATAATTTTATCAATTGGATTACCAAAGTTCGGCAACAGACTGGTAATCGATATCCTGTTTGGGTTACAGAATTTGCCTGTACATCATGGAATGCTAATCAACCTGTATCTCAACAAGAAGTCAACGACTTTATGAAACAAAGTATTGCTCGCTTGGATTCATTGAGTTGGGTAGAACGTTATGCATGGTTTGGTGCACAACGTCAATTAGATGCTGCACTTGGTTCGGCCAATTGTTTGATTGCATCCAATGGACAATTGTCTGATTTGGGTCGAACATATGTATATGGCTAGTAAAATACTATTATGACAATGACTTTAAGAAAAAATCGATGTATTTTCTTTAAATATTTCTCATATAAAAAGTATCTTGTTTTAATACTTGTGTTGTTGTTCTTCAATATACAGTGGAGTGCAAAAATAATTGCCGTTAGTATTTCATAAATTCACTCTACTAAACACAACAAATATTGAAAGTTCTTTTATATATAGATAATAGATACAACAGGGTATATAAATATAATAATCAATAGTTAGCTCTCTTTCCCTTCAGTCAAAAAAAGCAGTAAAACATATAGCTTCATTGATGCACTCAAATAACTTAGCGTCATTTTGCCTATGTACATTGAGTATGTTCTAGCCTAAACGGTGTGTTCGAGAAAAAGTTAAAGAAGGTATGAACCTCGTTTTGAACCAAGATCTTGTAGCCGAAGTTTCAGCTCGATACGACGTCTTCTTGTTTTTTAAGGTGGGAAAGAAACCCAACACCACCTTCGCAACTTGTGACCTCTCTTTGACGCTGAAGATGAATTTTGAGAATTCTGCACTTGGAACAAAATTTCATCTAATAGCTGAGGACTGTCTATTCTGAAAATTTCAAGTCGTTCGAACAAGTCACTGTCGAGTTAGTACAAAAATCGGGTTGGGGCACCGTTTTTGCTGATCGTTCTACACACCGGGATGTTCTATTTGCTTTTAAGATCCCATGTGGTTGGAGCTCATTTGCATGTCGTTAGATACTATGAACAGAAGCCTTCTTTAAGAATACGATTTTCGCAGCTCAGCGATTGTCGTAGTCCCGGCAGTGTAAGATGACCTCTTGATATACTAGAAAAGCAGTGGAAACTCGAATCACGATGTCTCTCGCTCTACTAAACGATACTTTTTGAGGAGTCTCACCCTCACTGCAATCTATAGTACATCCTTGATTGCTGATAAAAGTTTGAGAAGAATTCGTTCATGCGCTTGACAGATATGGCTCGAGAAAATGTGTAAGTGCAGCGGCAATTATTTTTGCACTCTACTGTAATTCTGAAATATCAAATGTAATCAGCATTGGTTTTTTTATCCATGCAAACATTGAGTCTATATATAGAACTTCGATGAGCGAAATATGTTGTTGAAAACGTCAATCAAAGATATTGACGAATAAAAAAAAGACAATCGAGTTCAAAATCAAGCATAGAAATCGATAAGAAAAAAAAATAATATCACAATAAAATTTTGAATACTGCTTTTGCCATCCTTGTGTCGCAGATCTAATGAAAAAGAAAGTCAACGCCAACATAAAAGGAACGTTATACTGTCTTAATTTGCTTCTAGAAAATTATCTAATGTCATTGAATAAATCATTTGAAGGTAAAGATTATCGAAAATTTGACTATTATCGAATCGGCTTAATTCGATATTTTTTTTATCAAATCATAAATGGTGATCACCCTATTAAGAATTAAACAATTTAATAGATCTGCACATACATATTTAATTCTTTAGTTCGTGAGCGAAGTCTCTAAAATTTATTAGCGCTTTTATCGGGTAGATCATCTGTTTGTTGATACCAGAAATATAAAGATGTATGGAACAATGAGAAATGTTCCCAGTAGCCAAACAAAAAATCATTAGAATCTTATTTTAAGAATAATAGTGTTTAACAAAATAAGAAAATAAGCCACTATGAACATACAGATATAATGATTACATCTCTTCTGAATTTAAAGTACAACGAAAATCAAAAAAGAATTAATATAATAGTCATTGATCTATAATTCAACATATGAATGGCACCCGAATTCAAAAGAAAATTTACAATAATAATTAAGAAGATAAATAAGAATAAAAAGACGGGCCAATAAACAAGTACCAGCAATCTCAACTATTAATTCATGATGAAAGTTAGATCGAGTGATCATTTTTTTTAGTTTTCACTATGTGAGATAAATTCTCAATAAAATCAGTAATTAATGTTTACACCTCAGCATTAATTCAAGACAAGAGAAAATCCAAAGAAGATTTTTTTTTTACAGATTTTTTCGAACTTTTAAACTTCTTATTCTTTGTCTATCATTTGAATACCGTATTTCCTATTGTAAAGCAAGGCCCTATCATCACGAAGTACATTGATATGATTAAATTGATCGTTCTCTCTCATGTACAACAGTGGCATTCTTGAAGACTTTTGATCAGTCCTCTCGTCAAAGTGTATGTAAAAAGAGGTCGCAAAACGCTCAATATCTTCTATTTTTATGTGTTCATTCACACTAGAAGTTTTGTCAGCTTTCGTTGTCATGTGTTGAGTCTCTTTAGTTATGTCTATTTCAAGAAAGGTTAAGAATCGTATGTGCTTAAAAAAAAAATAGTCAATCATATTGCAAAGGAAAAACGCGAATTTAGGAATTTTTGAGTTTTTTCGAGTTTTCTCGCATTTCCTCAGGTTTTTTGTTTTATATGAGTTTAATTTCAACCTGATATGCCATATCTCATCATTCAAATTGCCTGTTCTTTTTTTCTTCAAGGCTATCTCGCTTCTTTCTCTCACTTCCAGAGGACGACTAGCAGAAAACTATATTTTTCAGACCAACTTGATATCAATTAATAAATGAAAAGTTATCATATGCTTAAATCAATTAATTATATCCTTTAAGAAGATATTGTAGTTCTGATGAGTCAAAATGATCATTATTTTCGCCATTTTCTCCAACATAGTAGATCAGAGAGTTTTACAGAACAATAAAAACCGATCTCGCACCCTATGTCTCGTTTCGTTTCATGCCTCATGTTCTATTCTGCCCCGTGCTACTTCCCATTTTTCAGCCACCTCCCAATCTGTCTATTTCTCAAGAATTGTTTCGAACTGTATTATTAGCGTAACAGAATCTTTTCAATTAACAATGGTTAAGTTAATTGTGTTCCCCACAGATGACATGTTCTTGAAGAGGATTCACGAAAAACTGATTGTTTGTTAGCTCAAATGGAAGGAAACAGTCTGGATGGGGCGAAGAAAAATCTTGAGGGTGTGGGTACCGATCCAGTCCGACCGATGACTGGCCGGTCTAAAAAATAATTCTAGACCGGTAAAAACCGGCGAGCTTATGAAGTTTATTCATAAGATAAAAGTGACCTGAGGGGGAATTTTCATTCCAGATGCTTATAGATTTTCACCTCGGGGAAAACAGCTAATTTTTAAAAAATTTTTATCAATTTTAAAGAAAAACAATCAATGTAACGAAAAGTCAAAATAGCGCTCATTCGGAAAGGCCTAATCTTGAGCATTCTGTGTCCTATTTTTCAAGTATTCTCTTATAACTTAAAGGTATAGGTAGAAGTTAATTTAAAAAAAGATATTTCGCACATTTAGAGAATAAATTTTTATTCGAGTGTGGGGTGTGGGTGTGGGTGTGGTGGGTGTGGGTATGGGTGTGGGGTGTGGGTGTGGCTGTGGCTGTGGGTGTGGGTGTGGGTGTGGATGTGGGTGGGTTGTAATCTTCTATTCTCTCACACGCACATCTCGCACCCACACCCACACCCACACCCACACCCACACCCACACCCACACCCACACCCACACCCACATCCACACCCTCACACCCACACCCTCACACCCACATCCTCACACCCACACCCACACACCCACACCCACACCCTACACCCACACCCACACCCAGTTGATGTTCTTGATCAGCTTGATAAGCCCTGTCGAATGATGTATGATTGAACATAATCTATTTTTTTGCTTCTCTTTTGCCTTTGGTGCACTTTACCCTGCCATTTATTAGGATGCCAGCGAAAAGCTGCAAACGATACAGAAAATCATAAGAATAACATCAACAGATTCAGATTTAAGTAGAAATCTGTAAGACAGTCGATCAGAACACTTAGCCCACCGATCAATGTGTCCAAGTCAGGGCAAACAGCGTGAGACACCGCGAAATTACACGCCACAAGGAAGTCAAAAAGCTGCCAACTGGGTGTGGGTGTTGAAGAGTAGAAGATTCGCATCCACACCCACACCCCACACTCTTCATAATCTCATGAACAATGAGTCCAGTTTGAGGGTGTGCTTCGTACCGAGCTCACACGGCGAGCTTAGCCCGTGTATCAAACGCTGCACTCGCATTGCTATTTTGTGACGCGTTGATCCAAAGATCGGAGTGTCGTACAATTTTCGTCTAAACGTTATTACAAAGTTCCGTTTTTTTCTCAATTCGCTGCACCAAATGATGATTTTTGAAGTGAGAACTCTGTTTTTTTTTCGAGATAATGAAAATGACTTTCAACAGCGACAATGATTAGATCAAACATTGCTACCCTCTTTCGAAATTTTCGTGTTATTGACGATCGTTAATTAAAATTTAAAATAACTATGAAGGAGACAAATAAAAAAACCAATAACTCTATTTTTTATGCTTCTATATGCTCTAATTAAAAATCAAAATCTTAACATAAGTGTAAAATCACTTATATAAAGTATGCCGTATTATTGTCATGTATCATTTTCTAATGAACAAAAAGACAAAATCAATAAAGTTTGTTTTTTATTTTTATATAATTTTGAAGTTATTCATAGAAGATCAATAAAGAAATACATTCGTATATAGAATATAATTTATTCATATTTACTATTGAAAAGAAAAACAAAAATAAACAGATATAAAAAAAAAATATTCATTTTTTTACAGTCACATTTTATTTTTCATTTTTCCAATAGTAAGGAGAAATATTTTATATTTGTGCTTTTAATTTTAGATTCTTATAAAGATATAGATAGTAAGTATTGACATAGTCTGTTGTCCTAATACAATAAAAAACTTCGCTTTTATTGAATCCCTATTTAGCTGTCTGAGATATCATAAACAATTTCACATAAAAACAAGATTATAGAGAACAACCTGCTGATGTCATATACCGATTTTTCTAGTGACAATAAATTTTAATTGATGTTTTGTTCTTAAACAGAGCTCAAGACATGGATATTTACGTAAAGTCACTCTCTCATCTTGATGAGGTGCAATTTTCTGTTTAATAAAATATTTTTTGACTTATTTTCAATGTTTCAGTGTATATCCAATTGACTTATGAAAAAAACATTGAAGATTTTACTAAAGTTCGATTTCATCTGTATCAGCGTCTTTTGATCATGAGATATTATCAAAAGAAAACTTCAAGATATGTTTACATTGCCGCATGTGTCATAAATCTTTATGATTCTCTCGTAACCAATAAAACGCATTGAATAAGGTTTCACATATATCTACCAGAATTTGAAATAGCCTATACCTACCGTTTCGATTTTTATATTTATATTAGACCATCTTGAAAAACTGGTTTTTCTCATCAGAACTAGGTAAAAAAGAAAACCAATTTTTGTTCAAAATATTCTTTTGAGAATGTAAATACTTTTGAAGTTCAAGTTCAAATGGACAAGCTAAATGCTTTTCTTCTTCCTCTTTTTTTTTTATTGAGACAAAAAATAAGATGAAGTGTCGTATCTTCTAAAATATATATTTAAATTGAAAAATGAATTGAACTGAAAATTATCAATCTTTGTATCATCTGTAAGAGAAATTGTCTCATGTTCCTGATAATTCAGATCTTATTTATTTTAACATGAAATAAAATGTAACAACTTTTTTTTTCAGAACAGTAGTGTTCTGTTAACTATCAGTAATCAAATCATAGAATAAAAATATAATGAAATGCTTTCTTGTTAGTCATTGTCTAATTTTGACTGATTCCAACTACCTCACATTATACAGAAATGAATTTTATTGAATAAGTATGACTTTTTTTTCTTCTTTGCCATCACTCGTCGTCTTCTCTTTCGGTGAATGTTTTATTGCTACTATGCGCAGTTTTTCTCATAGAGTGCTTATTTGATAAGAATTTTAAAAAGACGAAAAAGCAGGGAGCAAATACAGCCAGCGACGGAAGATCAATATTTGACACGCTGCAGAAAAAAGAAAAGAATCACTCGAGGACAAAAAGCAAGCGGTGTGAGACGCAAAAAACTCTATCAACAACAACATATTATCAAATTTACCCAGAACGTTTTGGCTTCAATTACTTGATCGTGGTAAGTCAATCATTAGAAAGATTCGAGAAGCAAAATAAACGGTTTTGAATACTATATAGTTAGCGCCAAGACACTGCAAATAGTCTACTTCTTTTGTTATCCCGCTGTATTCATCAATTTCAGTTATTAAAGAGATAAGAAACCAAAATCAATGTAATGTAACTACGAATTTAATGAAACTACGCATAAAAAGAACACGAATACAATGGTGAATCTTGAGTGTGAGTAAGAGTAACTGTAGAAAAGCTTTCAGTTGGAAAGCTTCGGACAATAGAGAAATCTATCAGGATGAAAGCTGAAAGCTTCAAGTAGTATGTGAATAGCTGAGAGTCACAGAGAAAAAAATCGTACGCTCACAAACGTTGATGACGACGACGGTACAGGAACCGCGATTATCCAGCCATTTATAAGAATGCTAGCAAAAAGTGTCAAGCGATACAGAAAATCGTAAGAATAACATGAACATATTTAAACTCAAGTAGGAATCCGTAAGACAGTTGATCAGAACATTTAGCCTACCAATCAATGTGTCTAAGTCAGAGCAAACAGCGTTAGACACCGCGAAATTACACGCCACAAGGAAATCAAAAAAGCTGCGAGCCACTTATCCATTGAACTAAGCGCCCGCGACGAGTGTTGTGTCATACTGAGAATGCTTGAGACCTACATTAATATGTTAGATCTAACCACAATCCACAAATTGGCAATTCAAGAAATTCTAGAAATTCAAGGAATTCAATTTCGTGAATTCCTTGATTTTCTTGATTTTCTTGAATTGCCAACTTTTGGATCGTGGTTACTGCTCAGAAAATTGCTTCACATCCACAAGAGTTTTCGCCCTTTCAAAGGGTGTGGGTGTGGGTGTGGGTGCGGGTGTGGGTGTGGGTGTGATGACAAGATCAACATCCACACCCACACGCACAACTAGACTCCTGCACACCCACATCCACACCCACACCCTTTGTCACGGTTATTTATCTGACGCTATGCGTCATGTGTGTACGACGTATTCGGTCTTGTTCCTCCCTGAATGACATAGCACTTCGATAAAAGACAACGTAATTCTGACGTTCTATTTTACTGTGTATATTAATAAGTTGGTTTCGCTGATTTAGCAAACAATTTACAACAGTACTTATTCTTCGAACGAAATCTCAACAAAATTTACACGCAATTAAATGGCTCAGACTACTAAACCAATTCTTATTACCGGAGCTGGTGGTGGTGTGGGATCTATTTCAAGAATTATCGTTGAGTTACTCAGAAAACAAAATTTACCAGTTCGAGCTCTTGTCTAACGTGATGATGATCGTGCACAAGCTTTGCGTGAACTAGGTGCTGAAGTCATCATTGATGATCTTACACAATTGCCCGATGTTCATCGAGCAGTAAACGATTGTGGACGCATCTACTTTAGTATTACCGTCGCTTCCAAATATCTCGAGGCCACTTTAAATACGATTGCCGTCGCCAAATATTACCATGTCGAAGTCTTTGTTAACATGTCTCAGGTATGTGCGCGCAGTGAAAATTAGAGCTTGTTAAAAGAACTTTCTCTCTAAAATGTTGCATTCCACCTATGATAAACTGTGGTTCAAATTTCTTTAATGACTAACAAAGAAATCTAATTGTCTTCGTTTTTTAGATGACTGTGTCAAAAGTGAACATCAACCAAACCTCTTTGAGTCCACAAGTAAATGCATATTGGTTGGGAGAGCAGGCTTTGGAATGGTCGGGCGTACCTTTCGTGAATCTTCGTCCAACTATCTTTATGGAAGTAAACTGCTTTTGCTTTTTCAAACTATTCCTTCAACTCATATAACTTTTATCAGAATCCTCATTTATATCACTGGGCCAAATCTGCAGTTGCCGAACACAATTAACTGCGCATTCCTTTTGGTTCTGGTCGTATACCATCCATTGCTGCCTATGATGTCGCTCGGGTGGCCGCTATTATTCTTGCCAATCCAGCTGCTCACATCGGAAAATCGTATAATCTTACCGGCCCGAAAGTAGTTGATATGAACGAGGTAGCTGATGCCTTCTCTGCTGCCCTTGGTCGCAAGATTCGTTATGTTCCACTTGAATGGGATGAATGGAAAGCCACAACATTAAAAGAACATGTATCAAAAGGTGATTGGGAACAGCATGCTGCTGATCATTTGGCCAATTTAGCTCGTCTCGTTCAGAAAGGCACCGTTGAAGTATCTCCAAATGTTGAACTTCTGACAGGATCACCTGGAATGGATTACGGGGAATGGGTGAAGCAACACGCTGAAGAATTCACTAAAAAATGACTGACTTATTTAAAGCAGCTCAAAAATAGTGACAATGATACTTTAATACCCTATAATAAACTTTACGCAACTTTCTTTTTATATGCAAACGTAGTATAAAAAATGCTCTATTATTCTGTTGTATTTGATTATTTTTCAACTAAATATCATACTGATAAAATTTCAATAAGAACTGTTTTTCTATGATATGTGACGGTTATACTAATGCCTATTTAAAAAAAATACGATTTTTACTGTTCGAAAGAGGAGATAAAGATGCATCGAATCGTATATTATAGACATTTTTGAATTGATTTTTTTGAGGTTTTCAATCGATCTCTTTGAAAACAAATACAGTACGCGACAAAAGTATCCCCCATTTGAATCTCAGTCACAATATGAGCTGTAGAGCTGAAAACTAGTGTACACATAGTTCTCAACGAATGCTGATCAGCGACACCACCCGCATCCCGATTGCATGAACTATAAGAAAGTTATAATGTACGCGGTCTGTCTCCATTGTGGACTTCATAACTCAAGAATGGAACGACTTTATGAATCGGGATTGGTTTTATTTTGTAGCTCTGCACTTTGGCTATCTATGATAAAATTTTCATTGAACTTCAATGAGTCATTGTGGAACTAAAACCATTTTACTATAAATATCGATACGTGCCAAAGCCGACCTATCCCATAGTGTACTTCATAGATCAGTGAAAGTTTGATAGATCGACTTCAAACTTGCAGAAAAGTTAGCCCCACAGGCTCTTATTGTTCTCTAAAATTTTCAGACTTATATCACATACTAGAGAGAAATGGCACTATGCTCAAGTTCCAGATGTTGTCATAGGCCTAGCTACTTGAATACTCAAGCAATTGATCTCATCTTTTGGGAACATAACTAACACATAAGGGAGCACAATTCCACCAAAAAAAGTTAGAAAATTCACCAGGTATCATAGAAAACAAGACATAAACTTTTTATAGTCAATTTTTTGCTCACCGTCACACCCTCAAGATAACGGTGTCAAAAAGACCTTGTGAGGATACTATATTCGTTATACAGAAGAATTAAAAAGTATTTATCAATCTAATTTAATTCTTTCAAGAGTCTTCTGATAGTTTTCATCATGATGGTGAATCAGAGTATGTATGGAAGCAAGAATATGGATGGAAATTGGTATGTGATTGTGAAAGGGATACGAATCCTCACTTCCACTCCCTATCTTCTTCAGCTCTGTTAGAATGAGAGAAAAATTGATTATAAAAAGTTTATGTCTTGTTTTCTATGATACCTGGTGAATTTTCTAACTTTTTTTTGGTAGAATTGTGCTCCCTTATGTGTTAGTTATGTTCCCAAAAGATGAGATCAATTGCTTGAGTATTCAAGTAGCTAGGCCTATGACAACATCTGGAACTTGAGCATAGTGCCATTTCTCTCTAGTATGTGATATAAGTCTGAAAATTTTAGAGAACAATAAGAGCCTGTGGGGCTAACTTTTCTGCAAGTTTGAAGTCGATCTATCAAACTTTCACTGATCTATGAAGTACACTATGGGATAGGTCGGCTTTGGCACGTATCGATATTTATAGTAAAATGGTTTTAGTTCCACAATGACTCATTGAAGTTCAATGAAAATTTTATCATAGATAGCCAAAGTGCAGAGCTACAAAATAAAACCAATCCCGATTCATAAAGTCGTTCCATTCTTGAGTTATGAAGTCCACAATGAAGACAGACCGCATACATTATAACTTTCTTATAGTTCATGCAATCGGGATGCGGGTGGTGTCGCTGATCAGCATTCGTTGAGAACTATGTGTACACTAGTTTTCAGCTCTACAGCTCATATTGTGACTGAGATTCAAATGGGGGATACTTTTGTCGGGTACTGTATCTGTATTATTCCGTCTCATTTACACATTGCTTCTTTTTTTTTACGAAAATTTTTTTTATTTGATTTTATTAATTGTTACTGTTTTAACTCTTTCGAGACGATGATGCCCACTGGTGGGTCTCATTATATTTTAACAAGAAACTTAGTAGAAAAACACTTTCTTTTTCTTCTTTTCTTACGTATAAGGTTACACGTAGTGTATCATCAACTCTGCCTTCGTCATTGTTTGAATCATTTCTTGCATAGCCTGATGTTTTTCGTTGAAACAATCAAGACAAAAAAATTTATCAGTCAGACCAGAAGGTTGTTATTTTCTTTGCTGTTGCATAACTCGCTTCTCTTGATTGTTGTTCCCTTCCTTTCTCATAGCAACCAGTACATCGTCTGTGGACATTGCGCGCAGAACCTTCCTTTTCTTCGAACTTGTGATCAGCGAGTTTGCACTTCGAATGGCTTACTGATTGTTGTCTTGGACTGGGTTTCAGCTTCTCAAATGGCATACTAAAGAGCAAGGATTACACAAAACTTTCACAAAACTTCAGAATGATCATGTCGTTTGTCACAGTATAGCTTTCTTTGTAAAGTCACATCATTATCATCAGTAACTTCTTCAGAACTTTGAAAATTGAAATTAAATTTTAACGAAACTATCATTCGAACCATTCCTATAACTCAGTAAGCTACCGTTGCTTTCTATATTGGTTTCTTCAAATAGCATATAAATCATCATAGAATTTTAGTTGTTTTGATACACGCGAGAGGAAAGAATCTCAGATAATACTATGAAAAGAATACAAAAGAAAAAAACATCGAAATTTCGTTTCGTTATCTTATTCTTACTGTGCAATACATAGAAGAAAGAAAAGAAAAACAACTGGCAGCATATATTGGAAATGTCAACGAGAGCATTTATCGAAAAATGAATCCACATGAAAATGAATCTGTTAAAGCTATTTTCTAGGAAAATCGAATTGCCTCGAAAAGGTTAAATTAAATAAATAGCAAAAATACTTTTTCGTTTATATTGAAAAATACCTAGAATAGATGGGAAGGCTAGAAGTGATTCTATTTTCTCTCATTCATTATACAAATAATTTAACGAAAAATTTAAATAGTATAATATCCGACTTCATACACTAACGTAGGCATTCAAAAATGGTGGACAATTCTGTTTTCTAATCAAAGGTAAAAGAAATCAAAATAGAATTTATTATACTCGCAACAGAAAAAAAAAGGAAAGGATGTCACATTGATATTATAGAACAATGTTTTCTTTCTCTTGTTCTGTCTTTTTTTTTCTTTATCAACTACAGACTCATGTTTATACAAGCATATATTCTTTAGTTATTCACCTGGAGTAATGTTTTGTGTTGTTTACGTCGTTTCATCTCTTGATAATATGTATCTTGAATAACTTCGCAATAACAACATGAAAAAGATTCGTCAATTAGATAATTTCTTCGTTAATTAGTAAAAAAAAAACAAATCTTAATACGAAATTAATGAAACATTAATATTTAAATTTTAGTAGATACATTTATTAAGAATAAATGAATCTTTCATGCTTTTTTCAACATATATTGACTGGATGAATTTTGTAATAAACAGATAGCTTTTTTTTTTAAATTTCTGTTTCGAGTATGGTGATTCAATCAGATTCTTTTACATTTCAGCAAAAATGAGGAATAAGAAAAAAGTTAAAATCTATATTAATATACTAATGATTATGACGAAAAAGTTACAATAGTATTATTAATGTATATTGTCTTGTTTTATTCCATTTCTCATGTGACATATAATACAATGAATATGTGCATACTCATATAGTATGAATGTGAGGTAGAAATATGGATATAATCATTAAAATAACGACAATAAATCAATGAAGTATGGACTATTTTGCTGTTATATAATTCATCCAAAAAGGTATCTTGTAAATAGTGCACATTCAAAATCACTCGTCATTACACAAAAACAAACTTTGCTGATAACGTTGTTAACTTGTTCATCAATAAAAATATATATTCGAACAAAAATAAAAATCAGCTGAAATAATTTAAAGAAAATAAATATCACTGATGGAGACATTTGAGAACTATTGAATATGACTATATGAACAATAATTGTTCGATTTTTATAGGAAGATGTATTGTTATTCGATTGTCGATGTCATTAGGGAGACAATATAGATGGTGCACCACTCACATTATCGAGTAATCTTTAGATGACTAGTTGCCATTAAACTTCAATTTATAGTCTTTTTTAGGTTCTCATTTCTTTTATTATTTATCATATTTGTTTTTTTCGGAAAAAATCACAGTGAATTAAATTTTTTATTTACAATATGATTTTTACTGCTAATGATCTAATAATATCTGTTCTTGATTGACTCAGAGACTTCTTCAGAGAATCTACAAACAGATATAGTCGAATGACTGAATATCTTACTGTAATATTTCCAATTCAGTTGTCTATCGTATTCCCTTGATTACATAATTGAGGTGAACACCATTACATTTATCTATTTTGTAATTATGTTGTTTTTTTTTTGAGTCTGTATCTCATAAACAAATGTGAAAGGTGAATAAAATCATACTCATGATAGAAAAGAAAGAGACATCGAGATCATACCATTAGAATGTTCTCTTTTATTTCGTCGTAATTAACCGTATCTCTTCCTCATCTATATCATCAAGGTAAATGTTTATAAGCACACACATATATGTCCCATCAAATTATAATATGTCTGTCAACATTATTCATAAGACTCATATCATTATGGCGTCGTTATTTTGATGTTGTTTATTTCATTGATAAAATATTTTATATAAATTGTGCAATAACAAAGTATCTAGGCATGTATAAAAAAAACGATCGATTGATAGCAACTTTATTGATC